GAAAACATGAAATTTCCACAATCGATTTTCGGGGTCATTACAATAACTTCCTCCCTTCGGGTCGGGAAGTTAATAAAAGTAGTTTCTTCGTGAAATAAGAAACAGGCACTGAATTCAACATCACTATTCTAGGATTCAGAACATTTTTCACAATTCTAGAAAAAATTTTCTCATTTAAGAACATTATGACGTAATAAGATGTGAATTGTGTCAGCATGGTTTCAAACAGAAGAAATTTTTCCCAGACTGGGAAGGATGTTTCAAAATCCCAAAGCAATTTTCCGTACTGACCTTCACTTTTCTTCGTCCGGAGATTGGCATTGGCCCTTCCCCAAACTCGTAAAAGTGAAAATTAGTACGGAAAAATATCGTTCACGACTACTGCCATGGGTTTTTTTTTCACACGCGTGGTTAGCCAGTCCTAGTCTTTGGTTCGGATGCCAGTTCCATGCGAGTTCCCCATAGCAATCCCCCGGAAATACACTATTTTGTGCTTTTCTGAACAACAAAAATGTACTTAAAAGAAGGATACTGTTCGCAAATTTGATACATTGTTCATAATTCAAAAACAAAATGACAAAGGCAGGCAAATGACACCCTTTATCGAATAGGAAGTTTTTCGTCTGTATCTTGCGAGCTCTTAAAATATGATGGATTGTCCAATTTAAGATGGAACTTTCTTGTCTTTCAACAATACCGTCATTATCTTACTGAACAAGACAATGTTTTTTATTTGGGGAACTGTGTGTTCTAGATTGACAGAACGTTGTTGAAAATTATTGACTGGTATACTTCTTCGAAATGTTTATCAAGTAACAGTTCCACTGAAGTATCATGGAATTCCGTCATTGAGAACTCACAATTTGATGGGCAAATCAATGTAAACTATAAACTTTAGTTCAATTATTCAATGAACATTAATAGAAATCAGAAAAAGTTAGGTGAATATATTCTTGAATTTTCAATTCAGTAGCGAAGCGGTAAAACGGTTCTAGTCGATTTAGCCCTCAGCTCAGTTTTCGAGGAATATCTTTGAATCTAAGGGAGATAGCGAAATTGTCGTAATAATAGCACTCAATTCGCTCTATAAAAAAGGTTATGACAAAAATGTTGCTATCTCCCCAGATTTCGAGATATTCATTGAAGACTGGCCATTAGTCAAAATGGACTTAATCCGCTTCGCTACTGAATAGATTGAAAATTCATCGCAATTTGTAAAAAACTTCAAATACGTCGAGGAATTCTCGCCATCCTGTTGCTTAAAAATTTTAATTTTCGTTCAAATTCCAATGGAATTTAAAATTCAGTAATATTCCCCTCGAAATCGAATTTGCAACTTGGTCCACTCCGTGGGAATGTGCCGCCGTGTTATTTAGGCTTTAACGTTGCCGAATTTACTCTACACTGCCCGGGTGCGTTTAGCGAGTTTCCGGCAACGTTGCTTGATGGGCCATTTCATTTAACATGGGAAAAAATAGTATATCATGTCACCAGGCGATAAAAGTAAGTAAGGCGAGTATTATAATCACATTCACCAGATAATCGCGATTTATCGGGCCTAATGACATAAAAATTCTTTTGTTGGGAATAATCTATTTTCCTTTGGAATTTTGAGAATTATGTTGTTCTAAAACTACTGTAATGTGTTATACACTTCCATTAAAAAAGTCAATTTTTTAATAGTTTTTGCGGTTATGCAGTCAATGGTAATTAACGATAAACGATGTGCTGCGGCATTTCCCCATATGGTGACTAATCTAGGGTTAAATTGCTGTCTATAATTCTTCAATTTTTTTCCAACACCGAACATTGTTTTTACTTAGAGGCAAAAAAAGTTTCTACGAATGGTCCGTTAATTCGAAGAACGATCTTAATATTGTATCCATATATGATTGAATTCCGTTTGCATTCACCATTTATTTCCATCTTTGCTCGACGCTGGACAGCCATTTATCCCGCATAATAGTATAAAATTCTCACAGTTACGTGTAACAGTATCGTACAGTGCTATTCAAACTTCTACTCTCCCATGAACGAATGCGTTCAGACGTTAATGCAGACACTGTTGACTATACACCCGCATTCTCAATGTCTCTGTCGGTGTATTTATCGTTTTTTTTTCTACCTCCCTCATTCTTACCATACTCGAAGCTTTCGAGTGAAAGTTCGGTGTACACTGTGTCTCATATCGTCATCGAATAAGTTATTGTTTGGCGGTATACTTTGCCCATGCCAAGACAGGTTTGAGGATCTTGCGCGCACTCCACATGAAAAACTTTAGCCGAGAGTGAGTTATTTTATACCCAAGTACTATATTATGGCCATGGTAAAATTAAAGTCATTATTCGTGGTCATGAAACATTGCTCAACATATTTAAATATAATTTAAGTTCCTCCATTATTCGATTTTTTTTCCGTAGTTGTAAGGGAGGAAAGATACGTAAATAAAGGGAAGGTCGTAGTATAAGCTATAAAATGAATGTTATGATGGTAGAAAAAGCTTAATTGAATGGTTTAAATGAGCGGCGCTGGACTGAACGAGAGGACGGTCCATCGGCGGCTATTCCTCATGCTGCTCTCACGCGCACACACAAACTTTTCTTTATTCCGTCATTCTTTTTTCTTGTTGTTAGCGCCCCTTCTACGGACTACGAGTCGTTTCTTTCTCACCACCCATCTTACCAGTGTATTAGATTGGCGTCATTATACTCCTTGAGATAAACTTTTCAAAACGCCTATAATCCCCGGAGCCTCAGCTCTATCGCGCCACGCCGTTTAGTATCGTGTACCTCATTTGTTTTTACCACAGTTCTTACTCAACGTGAGGCATTCACTTTTCCTAAATTATCGCATCATGGGCAGTGTGATAAATTAGCTTTAAATATCGTCAATTAAGTACTTAGAAATTTAAAAGTTTCGGAAAAATTGTGATGATAGTGTTCTTGGCTTAGTTGAGGTTCATACTTGTTCCTTTATTGATTCAACGTTCCTGAAGTTTTTTATCTCAACTTTTTTCGACTTTCTATTGTGACCCTTGGGAAAATAATAATATTGATGGGATCCTGCCAAGCGTTTTATGTCCATGTTTCATCATTTGTCAGTTTCATTAATTTCATACTTTTTTCGAGTGGAGGAATCTACTATGATGATAATAATGAAAGAGAATGATTGCATTAACTAATGATCTTGAGTTTCTGATGGAAAAGACGCGCACTTTTTTATCGCGGGAAATTTATTGGTATTAAGAACATTGTGAATGCGAGAACAATTCTTTCTATTTAAAAACATTATGACATGAAATATTGCAAACGGTATCACTGCAATAGCAAGAAATATTCCCTCAGAATTGAAAAATGTACCCGTTTTCGGAATCGGAATTAATTAGAGTTTGTCCCTAAATTAAAAGTGAAGTTTTCTATTTCGATCGCGCCAGTTGAAATTCTTCATCCATTATCGTCTTAAACAGAAAAATATTCCACATTTACAAACCGTATTTTAAGTTCAGGGACAGATTGATCTTCCTGCAAGGACGATTTTTCTTGATTCAAGAAAAAAGGTACTTTCGACTGATAATTACAAGGTTCGTGAATTATGAAAAAAAAAACACTGTGCCGAATTGAAAAGTTTGTCTAGTATTCAAAGAAAAGTTTTAGTCATAAGTTGCAAACTTTTTCCAGACCTCTCAGGAGAGAATAACAAAAAGTTCAAATCAATACAAGAGAGTAATATACTAAAATAAAAATGAAGGATAAACTACCGTCAAAGTAGGAGTACCCGAACGAGTATGAGTACCCGAACCCATACCACTAATTATGACTTATTTCTAAACTTTTATCCAGTTTTTCTCACTTATTTTACTTTCAATTAAATTATGGTAGAAACAGAAAACTATAATCTGTTTAAAAAACATTCTAAGAGAATTAGAATTTAGAGAGAAAAAATTTCCGTTTCATCCAGCCGGGAATCGAACCCGGCTCTCACAGATACGCGCCGGGCCCTCTTACCGACTAAGCTCAATGAGCTCAGGTTCGATCGAAGCTCAATTTTTCAGATTTAAAATAGGAATCTTTTTATAATTTTAACTTTGTGACGTACTACACTGACATGACACCTTCAGGCCCCATCTCTTAACCGAGTTGGTTAGAAACGCTGGTCGGTGTAGCGTGTGTCAAATGAAAAATGGATGCAATAACTAAATAAAATCATTATTTACGGTGAAGAAAAGCGTCGATTGAGTGATTGAAATCCAAAAATAGGGTAAGAAACTCGTAAAATCGTAGAAAAATTAGTGTTCGGGTACTGACGCATTGAAAACTCGAACGATCCACTTGGCCTTACCTGTCAAACAAATTTTCCCACACCTTATCATCCTTTTCTTCATTAAAATATTATTCTGAGGATTAAATTTATTGTTTAATGATTGATCTATCACAGGGGAAAATTAAAAAAGAGAAAGGAGCAAAATTACAGTGCAGAGGAGTTGAAGAAGACACTGGAAGCTCTGAAAACTGGGCAAAGCTTAGGGGCAATTAACAGATTCTACCAAATACCAAAGACCCTTTATGATAAAAATATAACAATTGTATATATAACTAATTGAATAAAGACTTTAACTAATTCAATTCGTTAGAAGAATCATTTAACATGGTAAGCGAACACAAGAAACTTCACCGTTCGGGTTTAGGGCCTTTGCTCGTTGGGGTACCAATTTAAGAGCCATTTGACCGTTCGGGTACTAACGTTTCGACCGACTCGTCAATTTTCTTCAGCTATTATTCACAGGTGCAGGAATTTTATATCAAATTGATTTTTTTCTACGTGAATAATATTGAGGTTTACAAAGAATTAATTTTTTTAATTCTATATCTGAATAATGAGAAAAACGCATTTTATTACTGGAAAATTCATACACATTCGGGTACTAGTACCTCCACGATAATTCATTTCACCGTCTACAACTAATTCTTCATCTCATAAAATTCTCCGTTTTACAATTGCAGATGTGAGAGAAACAAAGTATTGAATCCTTGAGGAAGTGGGCGTGGGGTGTTGGCGATGGAGTCGGGACCAAAACAGGGCGCTTGTCCCATCACTGGACAAACCACAGGTATCACCGGTGGACAGCCCCAAGTACCTCAGGGTCAGGATTCAGCTAACGAGACTGGACCCGTTGAGGATGGCGTACTACTCGCCCGCGTCCACGTACCCGAACTCTACGTTAGCAAGTGTCTTCAATTCCCCAAGGATCAGCTCGTGTGGGATGTTAAGCAGCAGTGCCTGGCATCCTTACCAAAGGTACGGCCTTCCCTTCGTCCAATTCGCTTTTATCCCTCCATAACATCAGTTGCCATTTTCATCGATAAACTACCTAACAACCTATACGTGTGCCATTTACTGCTTCATAATAACTTCATATACGATGCAGACCATTTAATAGATTTTTTCCAGTCTACGACACTAGCAGCATCTCAAGTGGGATCATAAATTTTATCGCTGGTTTCCATACCACAGGTTTTTCCTTTTTTTCATTGGAGTTTTTCGATATTTTATAACTTCATATCTTGTCTCAGTAGTGCTGAAGCTAGACTCAAAGTTAAGAGGAATAAAAAAAAGAAAATATTTAAATTGAACATCAATATTCAGATTCAATTTAAATAACAATTAATCTGCATATTGAGTGTGGCTTGTTTGTTTGTCTGTTCTCTTCATTCTCATGTTAACGTGATAATAACTCGGGTAAAATATGAGGGAGAAGATAGTTGCGGAGATCATGAATTTTCACGTTTCACGCGTCTCGTATTTTTCTGTCCCACATGCTTGTCTTCCGGACGCAGGAGGTATAGCACCACATTAAGAACAATCCTTACTTCCATTTTTTTTTCAAAGAAAATTTTCCTCTTCCTTTATCTCCCATTTCAGCATTTCCTGTTTCACTTACTCCATCCTTCTGTGAGCGAATGAAAAAAATTGAACCACTTATCCCTTTCAGATTGACCATTACATCCTCTTCCTGACTGAAATATAACCGGAAATTCCTAAGTATTTCCCAATAGCCATTTGAAATCCTAATTATTTTTCTTTCGAGTCATTAAATCGAGAATTACGGTGACAATATCTCGTTATTCCGTAATACTAAGTTTGATTGCGGAAGAATTTGGTAATGTACATATAAAATAGTCGTGTACCTTTGAAGGTTTGAAAAATGTTGGTGGAACGCATCCAACAACAGTTGTACAAACGTTCATTCGCATTCCAACTACAGTAGTACTCTGGCCAAGCGTTATTATCCCGACTATTGATAATTGGCCGACCTATTAATGACCACCGGCTGGACCGTCAATTAACGTTTCGTCCGACTCTACAGTGTAGAGTCGTATGCGGGATAGAGTCTTTCCGCTTGGCCGTGATCCACTCCAACCGTACACAACGACCGCTAGCCACATTTTATTTGTGCATATATATGTAATGACTTATTTTTTAAACGAATAGACAAACATCACAGAGACTTTTTTTTCATAAATTTAGAACAATATTCTTCGTAATAATAACATTGTTCTGTTTGAAAACATAATGACTTGAGAGGTTGCAAAACGTATTATTGAAAAACATAAAAATTCTGTCGTTTTCAGGTTTCAAGTTTTTCAGGTTAAAAAATTACGAGTGCGAAGCACGAGTGGTTTTTCCGGAAAAACTTGAAGACTTCGTTTGTGTACAGGGAATCTTGAGGGAAATACCTGATTAATTTTAAAGCTCGAGTGGTATTCGGGAGATTATTTTTGGTAATCGGATCTGGCCTTCCCTGGGCCAATCAGAGTTCAGTATTCAATAATATGAAGTACTTCCCAATTAAAATTCCAGCGGGAATTTTCCTCATCCAAATGTCAGCCAATAGAATTGCACTATTCGACTGTTATTTCATATGGTCAACACGGTATTCAGCTGATAATTTTTGATAATTCAACTGGCAATATTTCATGTTGACTATATTTGTGGAAAACAAAAGATTCCGTGGTCGAGTGAACCCCTGGTTGGAACTGTCAGATGGATTTTGTCTCATAGTGCAATTCTTTTGGCCGACATTTGGATGAGAAAATTCCCTCCCGAATACTACTCGAGCTTCAAAATTCATCGAGTAAATCCCTCAAGGTTCCCTGCACACAAACGAAGTCGTCAAGTTTTTCAGGGAAAATCACTCGTGCTTCGCACTCGTCGAATACCACTTGACCTCCAAAATTAATCGGACATTTCCCTCATGTTTTCTTGCGTATCAACGGTCGGGATAAGTTTTGCACAAAAAAAAAGTTTTAATCTGCAAAACTTCTCCCTCTCGTTGCTACGCAACAAAACAATCGGGAAATAGCCGATAATTTTGGATGATTTTTGTGCAAAACTTATCCCGACCGTTGATACGCAGGAAAACATGAGGGAAATGTCCGATTAATTTTGGAGGTCGCGCGGTATTCGACGGATTATTTTTGGTAACCGACTCATTTTGACTTTCTTCATGACTTTCTTTCACTCCACAGGATAATATTTGACAGTTATTTGGTTAGAGAAACAATTGCAGAGCTAGAGGGGAATTATCAAAAGCTAGGGGGAAATAACCGCTGTAATTTTAATTGGGAAGTACTTCATTATTATTATTGAATACTGAACTCTGATTGGCCCAGGGAAGGCCAGATCCGATTACCAAAAATAATCAGTTGAAAACTCTGTAGGTTCTACCACGTGACGTCGAATAGTGGAATTCTATTGGCTGAAATTTGAATGGAAAAAATTCTCGTTAGTAATTTTCAGTAACAACTTGAAGTTTTGAAGAATTAGCGTCACGCAGAGGAAAATTTGTTTCGAATTGTCACTGGATGTATATTCTACTGCAAATAGCATTGCTAGACATTTTTTAGAAATACAAATTTTTTACCAAAAAATTTTTTTTGTGAAACTTCACTAGAGTCATTTAATTTTCTACTACAATTTTGGTTTAAAAAAACAGAAAGGCAATGACTAAAATCCAGGGATAATGTGTAACAGATTTCGTGTATGTCAAATTTATAGAGAAAATGTATTGATGAATATGTAAATTTATAGGATCTCTTATTGGAAAATTCCAATGAGATCCAATAAGATAAGAATATGAAGATATTTATGAATATGTAAATTTATAGCATCTTTTATTGGAAAATTCCGTGAAAAAAAATTCTCTGTGAAGGAAATAATCGGTTAAGAAACAAACGGAAAATATTGAAAAATCACGTAATCCTCGAGATTTTGACATTTTACCAATGATCTCTCCCCTTCAATCACTCAAAAATGGTTAAAAACGTGCTAATTTTATTTTTCATAACAATAATATGTCTGTGAATGACTTTTTACTCAATGGTGTTGTTTTATTTTATTTTTCGCTTAAACCTTATCACCCGCACCGGATACGCCGTACACTGTCGTCCGTGTGGACCGGTGAAAAATCAACATGAACGTCTCACCTCTCACCGTCTTGTGTGAATTACCACGTGTGTTAAAAACGGCCCTAAACACACTCGCACATGTACTCTCTTCCCACCCTTGTTTGGCACTCTTCACGACAATGTGTGCGGGGGTGCCTTATACCGCGGGTTAAACGTCGACACCGCTTCTACACCCCACTTTTCAATGTGCAGGTGGCCACTTGGTACAGGGTACGTGTTCTCACTTCACTAATAGCATGAATTGTTCATAATTATTTGTGAAGTTTTTTTGTCCTATTTTTTGTGAGCATGATTTGTTGGGAATTGCTGTAGTTGCATGCTGATGTTGAGGGAATTCTGCACGAATAAAAAAATTCGATTCACAGGAAATAGAATGGCAGTAGTATGTATGAAGTACTGCAGTAAAAATGAAAATTCCTCTAATGCAGCCGTGGGGAAATGGGCCTGTGGTAAGGGGTTAACGATATTCCCTCCAGAAACATGAAAAAGATGATTGAATGGATACTATAAAAGAAATCCCGCAGTCTGAATCTGGAGGGATAGTGTTTCTCTATATTGTAGTATTCGGTGAAGAGAGGCACACTACACAATTATTTAATAAATTGGGGCGATTTATCAATTATATTTAGAAGGTACAGGAAGGTGAGTCGGCCAAGAGATCTCCAAGAAGAATGACAGATTCAATGTTACCCCAAAAGACAGTCGTAACCAAGAGGGCTTCTTTCAGATGATCGGCAATTGAATTAGGGTTCGAAGGGGGACACGTAATAATATTATAAAAATCCAAATCAACTTCTGGTGACATAATAAAAAAAAACTTCTGGTGATAAAAATTTGGTACTCGAAACTAAGACTTCAACATTAAGGATAACAAGGGTAAAAATAAGCGTCACGATGGTCAGACTAACGGTTATGAGGGTTAGCATAAGGGTCACGAGAGAGAGAATAAGGGTCAGGAAAGTCAGAATTAGGGTTATAAGAGTAAGAATAACGGTCAGGAGGGTCAGAATAAGGGTCACGAATGTCAGAATAAGGTTTACAAAGGTTGGAATAAGGGTCATGAGAGTTAAATTAAGCGTCACAAGGGTCAGATTGACGGTCACAAGGGTCAGATTAAGAGTCATGAGGGTGAGGATGAGGGTCACGAGGATCAGATTAAGGCCCATGAGACTTAGAATAATGGTCCAAATAAAGGTCATATGGGTCAGATTAAGGATACAAATAAAGATAACAAGAGTCAGATTAAGGGTCTAAATAAGGGTCGCAAGAATCAGATTAGGATAGGGATAAGGGTCACAAGGATCACAGTAATGGTCCAAATAAGGGTTATAGGGGTCAGAAACTAAGGGTCATGAGGGCCAGAATAAAGATCATGGGGGTCATATGTGGGTCATATGGGGTTGGCGAACGGAGCGAGCAGAGGGCGTAGCCCCCTAGTATTTCAATGACAAAACTCAGGAATGAATTGGTCAAGTATATCAAAACTATTCTCTACACTGCACTATATATTAAATTAACTCCTAAATTTTCGTTGAAAATTTTGTCATTTACGAAAAGGGCGTTGACATTATCTTTCAATGATCGTAAAGCCGAATAAGGAATTACCAAGTTGAATACTCACTTAATCAAAATTCTTCAGTTAAAATTCTCTTCTAATGAAATAACAATGAATGAAAACATTCAGTTTTGCTTGAATTGATGGAGTTACACCAATTTACTAACAGCCATCATCTTTGATCTACACTTTTTCTGGATTCTAATGGTACATTCTTGAAGAAAATAAATTGTTCTTGCAAATTCCGTCATTTTACCTTGGAAAATGAGAACAGACTCTGAATATTTGAGCGCACATTCGTAGTTTTCCAATAAAATGGGAAATTTCAATCGTCGAAGCTGTTAATATTCAATTCTATTCGTAAAATCGTAATGTCACGATATTAAAATATGTACAGAGAAATTTAATGTCTCCGATACAGTTTAACGAAACTATTCAGTGTTCCATGCAGAATATTATTTTTTGCTTCCGAATGGAAACTTTGTAATCCTTAATTTCGACGATCTTATAATTTTGCTTGGAAATGACGTAGAATGTCATGAAACATAAAGATACGATGTTTTTAGAAAATGTATATATATGTCCGGATGTGTGTGTGAAACTTTCCGAAAATTTTTATAAACTAGGCGAGACGCGCGCAACCCAGGCTGCATGAAATTGATTCTTCAATCAATTTTTTAAACTCGATTAATTCTTGACTTCATTAATGCCACTGAATATTGGTGGGAATGACAACAATCCAGCACTAAAACACTGAAGGAATCGTGAACTGCCACATAATCATCCACATTCAACTTTTTATGAAAAACTGTTTTGCTCAATATCTCCCAAACTACTGGTCCGATTAATTTAATTTTTTTTTTTCAAAATAAACGGTCAGAGTTTTTTAGAAATTTCATGGAAAATATTACAGTAAATCTCATGAGAGTGACATTTCATCGCATTTAGGGAAAAAATGTTTATGAAATTTCAAGAATTAAGTAGAATTCACGGAAAATCATGAGTTTTCAGTGGGAGTGAGATGAAAATTTCATAACTTGATTGAATTATCAGTGAAACACGAATATTCAGAAACAAAATTACATAAATGTTCAATTTTTCCCAGAATTTTCCTGATTTTTCTGAATTTTCACAGAATAATTGAATTGAAAAATCAAGTATTTTATTGATTTGAATGGAATAAAACAAGGAAAATATTTGACTTTTTAATGACAAAATTTCCTGAAATTTCAGTAGAACTTGAACACGATAACAATTTCTATAATTTGGCGCGGAAAATTCAGACGAAAACTTTTAACAGTGTACTCGTCGTTTTTTCATTGGTCTTCCTGGATATTTCATTGGCAACTGTGAGTAGAAGCTTTCGAGGGTGTAGAGTTTCATCCTCAATACATCAGGCATTACCGCCAGTTACATCTGACATACGAGAAAAATTATTGGACAATAAACACCGATTCTTACCTATGATCCTATGACAGCAACCTCCCCCATAAAAATTCGGCAAATACACATCCAGCAATAATTTTTCATCGCGCAAAGAATTCCCCCGAAAACCATTTCTTCCGTGCGCTGGGATTCACTTGATGGATTGTCTTCACTGCAGGTTACAAGTTCCCTGTATGATACAACAGGGAATATTCCCGAACGAGGTCGAGCGGCACGTTGTCTGGTGACTTTCATTTTCGCCCGAGGTTAACGAAACCATCGCCATGCGAGCGCCTGTAATCCCCCTTTTTCGATTCTCCGTGCAGCTTCTTCCCTCCACCTGTGATTCTTTCTTTTTTTTCATTATTTTCTTTTCTGCCTCTTGAACCTTTGTATGCAGTTGCGGATTCAATTTCCCGTGTGTGTATTCCGTACATATGCCGACAAGTATGTATGAGAGAGGGCGATGCACCGAACGAACGAGCCGCGGACCAACATCCGTGTTTCCCCGTTGCCGGGGTCCACGCCCTTTTGTCAGCGTCCACTTGCGTTCTATAATTGCGATTTATTCGTAATGTCCCTCGGATTATTCAGTTTTTCGGAATTTTCGGGCGGAGCTTTTTCAGAAACATCCAAGTATGGGACAATCCGTACAGTAGAACTTGTTGGAACTCTAATTACACTCACAGAAAAAATTAATTTTATCAAGAGAATTTTATTTGAACCAACTACTACTATTTGGTTGTTAATTTTCAAATAAACATGATTCCACAGTGAATACCAGTTATCTCTTCTCGAGATACATTTGATTGGAAGAAATCGAACTTCTCTAGAATTTTGAAGTTCCTTTCATTTGTCGCAATAATGAGAGTTTGGGAAATTTGGGTAAATTTGGTCAAACCCCAAAACGACTTCGATTATGTATCGAAAAAATCTGTAATATATAGGTATACAGTCAAATTCCCTTCATATCGTCTATAATCAAAGTCAATCAACACAATTTTGGGGTGTTTTGACCAAATTTGCGGAATGTCGAAAAGAAAAAATTGAAAATAAAATAGATCCAGGAGGATTCCCAACTTGAATGACGGCTCAAAATACTTGTTTTGATTATAAGAATTATTGAAAAAAAATGAAGCAAATAAAAAATGATATAATTTGCAAAATTTATCTTTTTCAACTTTTTTTGTTCAAAAATTCGTTATTATGAGCATCTAGGAATAAAAAAAAATATTCACTGGAAATGCTTCTATAGGCGGTAAAAAATGGAAAATTTTTATGTCTAATAAATCAAAATCGGACAAATAGAACTCGAGTTATTGGAGAACAACGGAAAAATGTAAAAAAAATGATATCTCCGAACTGGGCTGCCGAAAAAATCTGAAAAAATTTGAGAGATAGTTTTTCAACCTCCCAATCATAAAAAAATTGTCATTAATTTCTAAGAGGGTAAGGGACAGCGGTTGACTCATTTGGCGTGGAATGCCTCATATATTAATGAATTACCATTGTATTAAATTTAATTGAATTTGATCAATCCCATAATCACGAAGACTTATGCTTTTATAGCCTAAAACCGAAAAATGTAATAATTCAAGCACCCATTTCATTGCATACACTATTCCACTCAGACATCCTCAACAAGTAGTGGCATTGAGTACAAGAATAAGTGCCATTAACATTTCTTAATTGATTCTTTATGTCAGCACTTATCAGCGAGGTTTTTGACCTAAATTGTGACAGATGGTGATATCACGTTCAATATTTCCCATCCGTAATCCATCCACAGTCGCTCAGTACTTTATTTGTTCACTTCAGACATCGCACAGAGATGTGATATCGTTATCGATCACCAGTGACTGGACAATTTTTCTACAATTTCATTAACATGAATGAATGGAAACTACCGCGTACTTCAGACAGACCCATTTCTATTGAACCCTTCAGGGCGAGATATAATAGCTTCTAAGAAAATGAAAATTCCAGATGAATGATTGATGATTCGCATGAAAGTTTTCGTCTTTTTAATTGCGACTGGAAATACCCCAAAGGAAGATTGATGAATCGGGAACGGTGGGAGCTTACCCTCGAAAAATAAATTCCCGTAGTCGATGATTGAACCCCATCCACATTCTATTAATTTTTTTATCTCCGTTCTCCGTGTGCACGTATTCCTGGGGCTTTTTTTTTATTTCGTCTATCGCCTTGGTAATGCGAATCAATTCCTAAG